TTGGCTTGTGTGATAACTCTGTTAGAGGAGTGAATGAATATGCATCTTTTTTGTTGCTGCTTGGGTAAACTCTAACCTTGACTAAAAAGATAGTGCTACGATATAATTTTGTGCTGTCTGCTACTAATATTCCAAGAAAACTGATGAGGGCAATATTTTTTCCAGTTCAATATCTAGATCATATTTTATAAAATATTCTCCATATGTTATATCTTTTTTAGAAAACCTAATAGCAAACACCAAAGGAGTTTTACTTAAACCATAGTAGTAAAAGTCATACAAGCATTAGTGCCTGGGGTTGCCTAACCTTTGCTTTGGGCAAGTAAATAATTTAAGCAAAGATCGATTTTGGAAGGATTCATTTTGTGTAAGGGAGTTTGGGTATAATTAATTATAAAAATAATTAATTAAATGTTTGATTTTAATTATAATTGATTATATTATAACGTAATATGTTTGAATACTATTTTTTTAAAATTAATTTAAACATAATTAAAAATATTTAGATAATTTAATCAAAATTAATTTTAATTGTATAAATTACTATAAAAGACATTTTTTAAAATTAATTTATTAATATATTTGTATCTAATATTATTAAATTTGTTAAATTTTATTTAAAAGGTAAAATATATTATTTAAATTACATGTTTGATTAATTATAAAAATTTAAATTATATTAATATTAATAATTTAATTTATACAAATAAATAACTTAAAATATCTTAGTTCAAATAAATTTAATAAAAGAAGAAGATTAATAATTCCTAAATACTAAACATTAATTTTAAAATAACTAATGAAAATGATAATATATAAATTAATCTCAAATGATATCATGAATTTGAGCCATATCTGTCAAAGAAGTTAATTATTGTAATAAAATTTTAGCAACATAAAAAATGTAGCAATGTGACAAATTTCTTAAAATCTCTCTCTCTAAATCTTTGCAATAATATTTATAATGATTCTAAATTTTAAATTGAATTAAATTAATTTTTCTCTACTAATTAATATTTTATTTGAATTAGTTTTATTGCAAGTGCTAAGTTGAGAGTAGTGATTAATAGGAACTTATATCAATAACTTTTGAGAGGATTCAAAGTTTACATTTTACTAAAAAAAAAAAAGAGAAGAGAAGAGAATTTTATTTTATTTTTATTAAATTTTATATTTATAATTTTTTTCTTGAGCTTTTTTTTATAATTTTTCCCCGTGCTTTTAATCATCTTTTTTTGCAAAAGCTTGTCAGATAGATTATGAGAAAACACGTGTTTTGGCTGATGAATCATTGTCGGCTTTATTTACTGTTTGGATAACTGGCCCAAAAAATTGATTTTGGGCTAATTAATTGATTATGGGCCTTATCCAAACACGCACTAAGTTGGTTTTATTCTTGGGAATGTTTTCTTAAAACTATTGTGTTGTTTTGTTTGGGTATTTTCAGGGTTTTTTCATAAAGAAAGTCACTTTTTATTGTCAACTTATGTAAAGGGTTATTAGATTATAGATGTGATGTCCTATCTTGTCCTGACTATAAAATAAATACTATGGTTAATAGGTAGAATTTTGCTTCCTTGATAATAGAATTATTTTGGCGAAAAAGAAATTCACTTCTTGCCTGATTCTACCATATTCAATATCCACAAGAAGTATTCTAACAGTTTAAATTTGTAACCAAATCTTTTTATTCATTATGGGTGTGTTGAAAGCATATCCAATCACATGCCATTTTTGGATGTCATATTCTAACAGTTTAAATTTCTTCAGCAACTGCCATGATAAAGATAAGGGATTGAAGAGGTTATGATCTACGAGGATGTGCAACCTGATGATGATGAATGAGGCAGTGATTAATGATATGTATCTTTTGTCTCATTCTTATATGCGGAGAATAAGGATGGAAGAATCGAAGCTGATGCAACTTGGATTTGAGGATGCCTCGATATCTAATTCAAAATCCGAAAAGATAAAACCAAAATTGAAGACAGAGAATTTGATGTATAGTACAAGCCAATGAAGGTGCTACTTAGGTATGAAAATGGGGTGATGAATGATCTTGGCCATCCTTCGATGCTGCTTCAGGTTCCATTGTCTCCTCTGTGGTACATCTCTTTTATTCCTGTTGTCATTCCAAATTTTATGGATTCAGAATGGTATAATGGCTTGCACTCTATTTCTTATGTATCGGTGGCTTTACTCACTATTTTAGAACCTGTGCCGTTGGATGTAATCATGTAATTGAGGATTTGGATAAAGCATAGCTATTTGCTTGGGATTTTTGTGTGCTGCCTTTTGCCATTGATCTTATAATTTGGAATTATGTTGGATTTGGACAGGCCTCTGATAGTAATAGGATTACAAACGATGATGTTGAACAGTGCACTTCCACTATGGAAGGCAACGGTTGTTTTTATTTTGTGGCTACTATCGAAGGAGCAATGCACTTCCACTTTTGAAAAATTAAGGGGATAATTGTTAGGATGACTATTGAAAATAAAGCAAAGGATATCATGGCTCAAATGCTTCTGTTGTCACTTGTATAAGTTTTCCCTTTACTATGTTAACTCCTTATACATTCTCGAATTTAGCTTTCCCTTTGTTGAAGCTTACTGTTGTAGCTATCTAAGCTCTTTGTTTTGCCATAGTTTGTAATACTAAAAAGAAAACGTCAACATGTAAAGCTGATAAAGAATAGAGGGGGAGGGTCTACCTAGTTTAATAGTTCAGCCATCGCCCATCAGACCACTGCCTACAACTAAAGGACAGAAAATTAACAGTAAGACGGAGATTGAATTGTATGCCTCATTTCTGTTGTTGCCTATAGGCCTTTATATAGGATGCACAATTGCAATGCAACCCATATTCTTAGATCATTATCATGTTTTCTAAAATTCTTGATGCATAGCCTGCAAAACTTCAGAGATTGTGAATTGCGATGATATACCAACTGCAATTAGTATACTAATATTTGCCAAGTGCTCATATTGTATCACATTCATGCTTTATGTTTTTGCATAACCTTTTCTTTGTATGCTTGCAGCAAGTCTAAATTTGTCATGTATAAGCTTAAGGAGATGGGGAAGATAGCTGAGAATGACATTTAATAAATAAGAAAACTATTTGACTCATTGGACAATAGTCAATGTGGCAAAATTACTCTTGTCGACCTGATGGAAACTGCCTAATACAGAAGTCAATTCTATAAAGAGAAATATTTTCCCAATCTTCCTTGCCTTGGCAACTGCTACTTGCTTTGGTCTTTATTTTTCAGATAAGATGGTCCAGCATTGCCACCAGTTATTGTCCACAAACTTGATCAAGCAAAGGACTTGTAGAGGTTAGAATTAAGACCATAAGAGACTGCGTGATCCATACCTCATATGGAGTCCGCTGGACATTTCAAGTCAAGTGCAAAGGAAATCTGGGACATGATTGATTTTATCACATTTAACAAGAAGTCTAGAACAATTTGGAAAATTTTAAGTGGCAAATCCACTTTCAATAATAATTCAAGCATATAACTCATAAGTTTAGGAGTACAACATATACATTACCACTTTTTTCCCCCTGCAGCCAACATTCATTGCCATTACAGTGGAATTAGATGTTCAATTAGGGAAATACAGTGTTACCAGAACTAGCACATTATTGTTTCATCACAAGATGGTCAAGAAATATGGTAACTATTTGTTAACTATACTCATGACAATGTGTTGCTAGAATCAACAATGTACAAGAATTGATAATTAGATTTTTATCAATATTTTCAGAATCTCCCACTACAATAAGTAGGAAGAGCCACATAAACAAATGAAATGAACATTTGCATATTGTGTTACTAAGTGAGCTAGAGCAAGATATATTGCAAGCTAGACCACATAGGACAAAAAAAGTGCTTATCGCATTAATGTTTTCAAAAACATATTACGTAGAAACAACCATGCTCCATGAAATAGCCTATCTTATAAGCTAAGAAGTTAACTTTGAGAACATACATGAACTAATCTAATTAGATAATATCTTGCTCATGTATTGCATGGGGCAAGACACTAGTTCATTTTTAAAAATATCTAGTGTCCTAGTTCAAATTTTGATACCTTCTTCCCCTCACATTCCCAACAATTATTTCTCATTTATTTTAAATTATAAGATATTTTTAAATAAAATTTTATATACTAATAAATTTTATTAAATACCTTCAGCAACTTTATTTTTTAAAATAAAAATATAAACTTTAAAAAATATGTTTTATTTAATATATTAAAAAGAGAGGAATGAAAATTAGAAAAAGAAAAAGAGTAATATTAGAATAAGCTTGTTTAATAAAATTTTAATTTTTTTTAAAGTGTTTTATATTTAGGATGGGGGAGTATATAAAATTTGAGCAAATTTCTTAATAATTACACATAAAATTTATTTTTAAATAAATAATTCGAAACTCCATAGTAGTTTATGTATTGCATAGGATCATGTGATAGTTAGAAGGGAATATAATAATAAAATTCCTTTAAATTAAGTAAATAATATTTTAATCTTTTAAAATGTCATAATTTTTTTAAAATCTCTAGAAATTTTTTTTGTTATTAAAAAATTAATATAAATGATTAAATTGCTTTTAATTCAAATATCAATTATCATTCTCACGTTTGGTTTTAAAATTCATAACTTTTTTTATTAAAATACAAGAATTTAATATTAATTCACAAATTTACATTTTAAATCATGATATTTCTTATGTGTTGCAAATATCAACTGTTATTCATAAGTTTTGTTTTAAAATTCATAATTTTTTTCTTAAAAACACAAGAATTCAACAACAATTTATAAGTTTAAATTAAAAATAATTTAATTATTTATATTATTTTTTAATAATAGTAAAGTAAAATTATGATCAAAATATTATTTATATAATTAAAAAAAATTTCATACGAGGTTTTTATTGTGTTTTTCCCAATCAAATATAGTAGTTATGGGGTTTGGCGGTTCCCCGCCACCAAACAAAGCCTTAATGCTTGAAGCGGGCAGCGATTGCGACGGAGCTCCTCTTACAACGATGCAGGCGGCAGAAAACGACCAGTACGACGCTGAGAATCCTACGAATCCCGAGGGCGGATCCCAGCAGCCACTCTCCAAGAATGCCCAGAAGAAGCTGCTGAAACAACAGAGGTACGAAGCGAAGAAGGCGGAGAAGAAAGCCCTAACAAAGGAGCTGAAGAAGAGAGAGGCAGAGAGGAAGCGGAAGGAGTGGGAGGAAAATCTCGAAAATGTCACTGAAGAGGAGAGACTGAAGCTGATTGAGTCGCGAAAGAGTCTTAGGAAAGAGAGAATGGAAAAGAGGTCGGAGGAGAAAGAGATGAAGAAGGAAAGGCTAACGAAGGCCAAAGAGTGCGGGCAAAATGTCGTCATTGATCTTGAGTTCTCGCATCTCATGACTCCTACTGAAATCAACAGCCTTGTTCAGCAGGTCTTTTTTTCCTTAATAACTTAGCCGCATTTCTTTCCTTTTTTTTTTATTTTCCTTCATCATTGGATTTTGTTATAGTGAACTTTTACTGATTTAATTTCTTTTATCTTCTCATTTTGGTACATCCGTATAAGTTTCTCTTCATGTTGCTTCTCTTATTTCATTCAAGTTTGATATCTCGAATTTTTTATTATGTTAGGCCTTTGAAATTCTAGTATTCTTTACAGATTGTGTAGGATTATTTTTTAGGTTGTTTCAAATTCTGTTGTTCTGAATGGATCAAGTAGGATTGCTTTGTTGTGAAATCAATAAAGTACGGAACAGTTAATTTAGTGTTCATTAGTATCCTAATCGAGTTCAATTGGGTGGATAATACATTTTCATCCAAAGGATAGCGTGCGTGGGAGGGCATGTGTGCCATGTGGACGAAAAGTAGTGATTGGGATTGAGAAAAGATGGGCGTGGTAATGTCTGCTGGGAGAAATGGAAAGTGAGGAACTGTGCCAGTGGTGGGCAGTGTAGATTTCATCCTTGAAAGATGAGGTTAGGCCTGCCTAATCACTGTAATACTGAGAAAAACCGCATTGGGAAGGAAATAGTCAATTAGTTTCGATGATGAGATGGATAGACCTTGGTCATCTGTTGCTGATGAGCATAAAACTTAAGGCAGTCTTTGAGATCTGTTGGGTTAGTTTCGATTTAATTAGTCAAGTCAAGACTCAAGTGATTGATTACTGTAGCTGAGTGCAGAGATAGATGTAAGGTTATGATATGCAGGGTGATATAGACAATTTTGATTTCTAATATTGTTTGTTAAGGTGATGAGTTGAAGACAAGGAAATTGCGCCTGATTGTTTGTCCAGAGATTTTTGTTGTTTTTGGTTTAAAGATCAAACCATTTCAATACTCTGGCTTTGGAATTTGTTTGAATGGGAGAATGAGTTAAGTTGTGCGTTCTGCATTAATCATTTGACTTTAGAAAATCATGGGTCTTAGCAAAAGCAGCTTGATGTCATCTCATGATTATAATATTATTTTCTCCATTATTCAATTTTGGACTTCATATGCATATTTCCTCCTTGATCTCCTTCCAATTCTTGGTTATTTTACACCTTTGGTGTATCTAGCCTCCTTGTGCTGCCGTCTTAACTCGAAGAAAAAGTATTGAACCTTATGAATCCCATTTATTTCTTTTGATTTTTGGTACGGGGGCAATCTTAGTAATCATGTCCTTACTAACTCTCAGATCTGTTTTTGATTTTCATTGAATCTGCAGATTATGTATTGTTACGCAGTGAATGCAAGATGTACTTCTCCCGCTCATCTCTGGCTGACGGGGTGCAATGGGGAAATGGAGAAACAACTTAGAAGGCTTCCGGGGTTTGATAAATGGATTATTGAGACAGAAAGTAAATCCTATATTGAAGGTTTACAAGAACACAAGGAAAATTTGGTGTATCTCACAGCAGATTCAGAAAATGTTCTTGAAGAACTTGATTTAAAGAAATTTTATATTATTGGTGGTTTGGTGGATCGGAATAGGTGGAAAGGCATAACTATGAAGAAAGCCGAAGAGCAAGGAATCCAGACAGCTAAACTCCCAATTGGAAACTACTTGAAGATGTCTAGTTCTCAGGTATTACTTGTCTAAACTCATTTTCACTCCACATTTGGTATACAAAAATTGAGTTAATATTCAAATTTTTCTTTATACGCCCACATATAGCATAGAAAGAGCGACTGATAGAGCAGAACATGTCAAATTTGGTGCGCATTATAACATTTCTGCGTTGATCCACCCTTCGTGAATTGCTTCTGTTGCCCACCGGTGAATATTTTGTGCGCATTGCCTTTTGAACATTGGATTGATTTCACTGTTGAATTGGTTGCAACAAAATGTGTACATAAAAAATCAATGGATGTGTTTTAAGATCTCAACCTGAGTAGCTGCATGCTTACATACAGTGATCTTCTTCTGAGACTGCTCTTAGCTGGCAGAGAGTATTATTTTTGTTCATAACTGGCAGAGTGATGGCATTTGTTCTCCTTTCATCTTAATTCTTAGCCCAAATCTTTTCTCACTTGACCTGACAGGTTCTCACGGTAAATCAAGTTTTAGAAATACTACTCAAGTTCTTGGAGACAAAGGATTGGAAAACTTCTTTCTTCCAAGTTATCCCGCAAAGGAAAAGATGTCTAGGCGATTTAGAAGACGGTGAGAAGATAAGGTAGAGGAGGAAAATGAATCAAAAAATGATCAATTGGCGAGTAAAAGGGAAAATATTGAAGTCCTCTGAAACAGTTAGAGATTCTGCCTCGAATTTTTCCCGTAAAAAATCAAGACGCGTCAATGTGAGTTTGAATTCCATGCGCATCCTCTTCAGCAGGCTCGCAGAATGAGCTTCGTTCTTCTTCTTCTTCTTTTTATACAAAAAGGTTTAGGCAAATCAGGTTCCGGTTATTTATCAAGGTTAAGACATACTTTCAAGCGTTTACAGATTGCACATGAGCAAGGTTTTCACATTAGCAGTGAACTTTAAAATCACAACCTTGTGGGTTAATGAGCTTTGTTCTTGTTTGCATTAAATGTCGTGCCCTCTTGATTTGGATGTGAAATGAAAAATATCTTTTTCGGAAAATGATTCTCGGCATTTGTTTTTGTTTTTTGTTTTTATCTTTTCGGGTGAGATTGAGTTATGTATGAGGGCTTGCCTTAAATATAAAATGGTCAGATTGAAAATTGGCAAATGTCCTACATTCTTTGGCACTCATATGTCAATCACCCCTTTCCCCCCATTCCTTTGATGCTTGGTTAATTTGCTCATATAAAATCCTTGAATTGGGCATTAAATTTTGGATAATTAGATATTTATTACTAAATTAAAGCTTAACTATAACTTTAGTGCGCTAATAATCTCAAATTGTAAAAATTCTTTTGTTTAATATTATTAATCGATATCACTATATCAATATTTCTTATATATATATATATATAATCTATAAAAAAATTATTTATAAGTTATAAAAAATGTACTTGAATTCAAAATTTATGTAATGGTTGAGGTCATATATGATTTGAATTTTATTTACGTTTTACCAAAAAAAAATTGTAAAGATTTGATTTATTGGATTTGGAGGAGAGGGGAATGAAAGATTTTCCTCCTTTCCCCTCATTTGGTTTTAAAAAATGTTGAGGGCCTGGAAGGAAAAATCTTTTCAATTTCTTTCCTTCAAGAGATTAGAATGGAGGGGCATAGCTAAATTTTGTCATGATTAAAATATGTTTATAAAATTTTAAGGAATGGATTTTCCAAAATTAAGAATATGTGAATTTGATGAATTTTTTTAAGAAAGAGAATATTTTTTATTTTATAAAAAATAAAAAATGAGAAAAAATATTAAAGGATGAAAGCTTCAACAAATTTATAAATATCAACTGTAGAAAATTTAAGTCCTAATTTTTAATATTCCTAGAAATACACTTAAAAAAATCTCACAACCTTGTCACTCATGTTTTGCTTTTGCTTCTGCTTCAAGCTTCCATCCAGCCATGAGTTATTAATGTGTTAGAAATTTTAAAATTAATACACGATTAAAGTTATTGAAAAATGCTTGATATTCGTCGAATTGTATATATAAATAGTTACAGGGATTTGATTGCTTAATTTAGGATGCCATTAAAACAAGATTTTATTCAGGAAAAATTAAATCTAGGACTCATTAGAAAATTTATTATCAAGAGGTCTTTTGAAATTTATAAAATACTCTTAAGTTCTATATCTTGTGCATTTACAATTTAATTAAGAGTATTGATAATTGGGTAACAGCCATTCACCATTTGTACATGAATGACCTTTGCCCAATTATTAATGCTTTTAGTTAAGTTGCAAATACATAGAATATGAGATTTAAAATATTTTATGAATTTTGTGAGACTTATTGACAATAAGTTTCTTTGTGTAAAACCTAGATTTAATTTTTTTCTTGTGTTTTATGTCCCATCCCAGTAAAATAAGGGTGTGGGTGTGTTGCATGCATGTTTATGATTGCTACAATTTTTTCTCAGCATTTATGATTTATGATTATTGCAATTATAACCATAGGAGTTGGATTAAGAATATTGATATGATTAACTACTTCAAAAAGCATCATAAAATTATTCAGAACATAAAAATAAATAAATATTCACAGTACAAAAAAAAATTTATTCTATGCAAGGAAATATGGTTAATACTTAGTAATGAAAGTGTGTAAAATGATTATTAAATTGTTAATGACTTCATAGTTTAATGATATGAGAACTTTTTTATAAATGAAAGGTCGTGATTTCGATCTCCTTTATAATCTCAAATTATTAATGCTTGCTCTTTTAATTTTTTTAAAAAATGATTATTGGATCTAAAGGAAGGAAGTGGTACATACGTATATAATTGACTTCAACAACCACGAATTATCTCTCAACGTTGAATATTAGCAAAATATTTCTTATGATTGATTTGCATGGCAACTTGAGTTTAAATTCGTACAAACATTTAAATAAATTGTTATTGAAAAGAAATGCCGATTAGCTTCCATAGCATAGTGGTAGTGCGTTCGCTTCGTAAGCGAAAGGTCGCGAGTTCGATCCTCGCTGGGAGCTTTTGTATACATTTTTGCTGCACATTCTGAATGTACGAAGTTCGAATAGGTGATTATCATCTGCTTTCATTTTTATCACCACCGCATGATGATTATGAAAACAAATATCTTATCCAATTTGTAAACTTAATCAATATCTCTTTAGATCAGAAAATCCAAACACAAGCTGAAAAAAGCTTAGAAAAAAAGAAAGAGGCAAAAAACCAAAAAGAAAAAAAAAAAGAAGACAAAAAAAAAACAAAAAGAAAACCCGGCAAGCCCCTCTTCCTTAACACATGCATAATCACAATCATCATTCTTCCTAGATTTCCCTCATCATTTCAACCAACTATAATCGCCAGAATCGCCGCCGGCTAGCGTCGTCATTATTAGACGATCTCCTTCAAGGTTCACTTGTATTGTCCATTTGGTTCAGCTTGTGATGAAGACCCTCCATTATTATTCTGTGCATGCTCCCTCATATACCCTCCCATGGCTCCAAAGTACCCATTGGGATGTCCAACGTGAAACGGCGGCACAAAACCTCCCAAGGCCGCTGTGGCCCCATACGGTGGCTCCACTGTGCGCTTGCCGAGTGGCTCGCCACGCATGGAGGCCCGGTCACCCTCCATCTCGCGGTACCGATGAAGGTACATGGTGAGGGGCTCGATGTAGTCGTCGAACCCAAGCTTACTCATGGCCCACAGCACGTCTCGGCGGTGATCGTCTTTCGCTGCTCCCTCTGGCACCGCTCGTTGGCCTCACCGGTGATGAAGCTAATGTACTCCGACACGCACTCTTGTATGGTCTCCTTGGCGTCGTCGGAGATCTTTGCGTGCGGAGGGAGGATCTTGCGCATGATTCTGATGACGTTGGCGATCGGCATAAACCTGTCTTGCTCCCTCACGATGCATTCGTTGTCGTCAGCCGCAGTGGACGAGGACGACGAGTGGTTGTGATTGTTCATGGTCTCTGATGCTGATACTGAAGAAGATAGCTTCAACACTGTCATGACGTTAATAACTATATGAAACCACCATATGCTTCAACATAGAAGCTTCTTTATTTTTAGTTATATTAAAAAAATAAAAAATGAAAATAATATAAAATTTGAATTCTTTTAATCTATATAAAGAATTTAATTATGCATGATAATAATAAATTAATAATCAAACCACATTCCACCCCCAATAATATTACCTTTATACATATCATAGGTTGCCGGAAAATCCTTTCTTCTCCCTCTTAACATATTATATAGAGTTAATCTATAGCTATAGAAAATCCGAACATGATTATATATAACTCAATATTGTAAGATTTCATCCATAAGACAATTTTATTCATATTCAACATTTATATAAACTAACAAGACTTGAATTTGTGTATGAGTAGAAAAAAGAACGAATTAATTTGTACATTTGTGTGCATTGCTTCTTGTGGATCTTAAATGAGAAAAATAAAGTTCGAGGGTAGACACATATACATAGAGATAAGAATGAGAATCAGTATAAATAATCTTGTGAATAATGATGAAAACGACCCGGGGGGGGGGGGAGGATCAGAGACCAGACCATGTATTTGTAAATAGGATATGACGAAAAAACTGAAGAAAACGACAGGAAGGCAGCGATAATAGAACCCCGCGTTTTGAAAGTGATTAAACGAATGAAAACTGCTTTTCATTTTCATGTCGTCTTGCTTCATCTACTGATCAGTCTGAGACTGAAACGCATTTCAAAAATGGGGTGGGTGACTGTCGTAATGAACCTATAAACTTAATATGGTCCTAACTACTTTTTTTTACCCAAAAATATTATTTTAGTTGTAGTAGTAGAATAAAAATATAAACATAAATATTATTGTGTACATAAATTTTGTCAAATGAAATCTCAAACTTGGAGGCAAAAATTTATTTAAAATGCACATAAAATAAATTCTCAGTATTTCTTAAGCTTTCAAGATACTTTTAAAAGGCTGCCGCATCCTGTGGTAATTGGTAAAAGTGAATAACAAAACAGAGGTGAAATATTTTAATCCTCTTAATATAACAAAAAATAATAAAAATAAATAATGAAAAATATTTGTAATTAATATGATAAACACACACACGCACACATCGTTTCTCAAATTTTATGTAATGAAATCTGTGTTGGTTATGTTTGAATACTAGTATTTTTTTTTTTTCAATAAACTCTTCATGACTCAACAAATCGAACGAACTATTAAAAAAGACTCCACCTTATTCATGAATTGAATGAGAATTCTTTTTGACCAGAATTAAATGAGACTCACATCACGTTCAAACACAACTCATTTGATAATGAGACGACTTTGAACGAAACAAAATTTATTAAATAAAAATACACAAGAAGAAACAGTGAAACCGCCCCAACCCCCCAAAAAACACACACAAAGGCAAATAGAGAAATTGCAATTGGAGGTTTTGAAAAAAAAAAACGAAGAGGAAGAAAGTGCAGTGAGAGGATAGTGTCCAGAAATTCTTAGAAACACGTTAAAAGAGTCAACAAAAACTCAAAATGTGTCAGTCAACTTTATCTCTTAATTGTAACCAATTTTTTTCCTTTCTGTTGACTTATTAGTAATTCGTAATTTAACAAATAACTTGCCCAGCAATAAGTTATCATTACAGATCGAATAACTTGTCTTTCTATATTATATTTAACAAAAAATCTCTCAAGTAGAGACACATATAAATACATTGATCACAATGCATGAACGCCACTTGTTTGTTATTCTCAAGTCTCAAGTCTCAAGTCTTGAGTCTTGAGTCATAAGCTTACATGCATGCATGCGTGCCACTTGTTCATTTCTACACTACACAGCCAATTTATGTCTTCTTCTTCTCCATTTACTTTACTGTTCTTGGACAATGCAGAAAAACATTGCTAGAGACAAACACACACACACACACACACAAACACACAAAAACAAACAAACAAACACTTATTGATTAATTCATAAGAGGAAAACAAAGATCAGACGGATGATCAGATCAGGAAAGAACAATGTGTGTGTGTGTGTGTGAACTGAAGGTGGAAACTTAAATGAATTTCCTTGCATGAGCAAGAAAAACTATGAGATCATACAGACTCTGTGTCT